AAAGGCCTATACGATCCCTCTGCATGGGAGTCGTTTTTTTGCGTCGAAGCTGAACAGCTTGACCGTCAAGCAGTGGCAATGGTCAGCCGCTCTACCGAGGCTCGATCCGCTGCTGAACTCGAGTTGGCAACCATGTGGGACACCTCTGAAGCTCAATCCACTGCCGAACTCAGGTCAGTAGCCGCATGTGACACCGTTTTCATCCCTCTCATCCTGACGATCTGTCCCAGTGCGAGAGCAGCTAACACATCTGTTGATGGCCATGGACCCTGCTCACTGCAGAGTTGCAAGGGTGTGCTCCCGTTCCCTACACGCCAGTTCAGCTGCAACAGGCAGCCCGAGGTCGAACATATTAACATGTGAGTCAACCTCGAAGGACAGTCGACACCGTTCACTGAACTGATCGTTGGCTGTGGTGCCCTGGGTTTACCATGCAGCAATGTCATGACCGCTAAGGAACTCAAGGTCCTCTGTCGAAAGCTTGGCCTGAGCCAGACCGGTACCAAACAAGTCCTTCTCGAGAGGCTGGAGGCATTCAGCCAGGATCACGATGCCTGGCAGCGGTGAGTCACAGCTTACCTCGTCCTTGGTCTCTCACCAGGTGCTGAGTTGTTCCAATGCAGAGTCCTTCCAGGCGCACGAAGATCTCACAAAGGCCCTCAAAATCATCATGCTCAAGATACAGGTAGCGGGAAGGGCAAGAGAGGCCCTGCAAAGCGGTCAGCAAAACGTCGGGCACTGCTGCTGGGTGGCAGTAGCAGTGATGCTGCAGTCCCGTCTGCTACTGAAAGGTCGAAAGACACCCAAACGCAGGCAGAAAAGGCAGCCGTCCTTGACTGGGTCAGTTGCAGCTTCATTTCCATTCGCCGAGTTCAGGATCACTCATGCTGGCACTGTGTCCTTGCAGGCACGAACGACTCTCACTCTATATCCTTACCAGCCTCCCCCGGCTGTTGCAGTAACAACAGGTCACGGTGGCGGGCCACTAGGTGCGCCGTCAGGTATGAGCCTTGCACGGGCCCCTGCAAGTCAATCACCTGGTCTCCCCTCCCCATCTGCCGATGCTCGCTGTCCCTCACTGGCGAGTGGGGACACCTCTCCTACCGTCATGGCTACCGATCCATCTTCTGTCGTTCGCATGCTAACACTTGGTGATGGGACTGTTCTCGCCTTCACGCTCGCTGACATTGGTGACCCCACAGCCGTGGGATTCAGCAAGGACATCCCGAGGCTCAATTCCATGTGGGACGACACTTCCCCTCACTGGACTGGCCAGTCCACCCTTACCATCAAGGGCCGTCCGATTGCGATCAAATACTGGCCCGAGGTGTACCGTTATGCACACAACCGACAATGGAAAGGGATCAAACACAACTGGACATGCTGGAAGGCAAGTATACATACTCGCTCTTGGTCGAAAGTGGGCCTATCTAATCCTGAGTTCACAGTACATTGTAGAGTGCTACTGTCAAGGCACCCCGGATGAGTTTTGGCGCAGGTTTAGTGAGAACGGGAGGCCGATGAGTTACACTCGTATTCTTGTCCTCCTTCATGAGGCTCGGAAGAAAGAAGATCAGGAAGCTGTGTGGAAAGCGGCAGAAGAATTTGGCGAATCTTTTGATACGCAGTGCACGTACAGAAAAGGCAGCAACATCCATGTCCTGACCCAGCCTCGGGCTATCGCAAAACGGCTGCACAGGCTGAGTGATGGGCATGGCAGGGATGAGGGCGGTTCTATTTAGCTGCATATTATCTAGCATACATAACTCTGTGGTATGAGACATAGATCGTGCGTTGTATCATGCGTTTCGTGTCTGTTTTTATTCTGAATCTGTGAGCTCAATGACGCCCAAGTCAAATGTGTGGCCACCACTGCTACTATTCTTCCTCTCAGTCTCGGAATTGCTATCTGTAAGTTCAATGATCTCTCTTTCAGTCTCGGAATCGCTGTCTGTGAGTTCAATCATCTCCTTGCCATGACTCGGCCTTTGGTGTGCAGAACGGCTTGGTTCCTCGGTGTCATGCTTCGTCAGCCCAGTTGCGAGCAAACCTGGGAGTGCAAACCTGACCACCGGATCTGGCATCCAGACCCGGTGAGTGCTCAGTGCTGGGTGAGTGCTGGGTGCGGAATCTGCAAATAATCCAGCCTGGGGAACACCATCTGGCATGCTCAGTACTCGAGCAACACCACGTTTTGCAGGGAGCGCTAATGGCGTGGTGTCGATCTCCAAGCGGTGCTGTACCAGTACCTGTCCTGAGGCAGCATCTTTGCGTTGTGAGCGAATACAGAGAACTGAATCGAGCGTGAAGCCCTGCCGCACTGGACATGACTTGGAAGAAGACTCAGATGGACCCTGGGGGCATATGTTACCTAGAGTGTCCGAGTCTGCTCTGTCCATCTGTAGATCACAATTTAGCAATTTAGCATTAATGGTGAGATGACGATTAATGGCAGCCTTCAAATTCATACTATGACATGGTATAGCCTACTCACACCACATAGATTGCGAATACAAACTCCCTCATAGACCAGGTTCTTCAGCTTTCCGAGTGTACCAGAAGATTCAATGGCATGGACTGGGACGGGTGGTCCGCCTCTAGACCACCCAAAGCGGAACTCGCACAGGAAAGCCAGTCGTTCCAGGTCAATTCCTTGCAGCTTTCTGAGCAGCATTGACAAGGCTTGAGGAGGCCCAGGATCGGCACACGTGAACGTGATCGAGGGCTTAACATATGCCAGGACAACAGCAGGGGAGGGAAAGTCGGTTGGAAAGGTGGCGGAAAGTTTCTTACAGCCCATCTCGGTGAGGAGATCACAGACGTGCTTGACCCAAGGTCCAAGGAATGTGGTAAGATCATCCTCATTCGCGGTAGTGGTCGCCGCATGTAGCAGCTCATCTCCAACACCATGTTGAGCAAGCGCACGAGTTGTCTTCCATCCACAACGTGAGAGGCCATTCTATCATGTGACCAATGTGAGTTGCACAGCGCCTGTCAGTGGCCAGTGGGCAAGCATGAACTTACGTCGTAATCTCCACCACAGAAGAGGGCCATTAGCAGTAGCCCGCCCTTTGTCAATGCAACAGTGGACTCTTGTGCCAAACCATTAGCGGAATACATTAGAACGGACTTGTCGTTGTCGTTGTCACTGTTAACACACCAATGTAATAAGTTAGTTCGAAGGAGCTCAGCACGATCTGGTCACCTGCCTTCGGAACACAGTTAGAGCGCCAAATACCAATGCATCACTATCCTCAGTCCAGACAGCATCAATAACCCCTAGCTGATTGAGGGCAGCTAGCTCTGCCTCTGCCTCGCCTGCTGCCTAGAGAATAAATTTGTAGAAATGACGATGACACTGGCAGTCACTGGTCTGATAGGTTCAACCTCACCTCATGTGTCCGAAATCCGAAAGCACTAGCAAAGTCCTTGAAGTACGTTGTAAGCCATGGTGGAATAGTGACAACCTTCTTGCCCCGCTTGATTGCTGGCTTTTGCGGGCCGTCGAAGACAAAGAGGACGTCGGCTGGGGTGCGATACAGGTGTGCTAACTTGTAAAAGAGCGTCCTCAACTCCGGGTTCTGCCCACACTGTGCATGTCCATGTCGAAACGAGTGCTGGCAACTGGCCATCCATAAGCTTTCAGAGTTGGACTGACCGGGTAAAGATACTTAAGTCCAAGACTAGCAGATTATATCAGAGCACCTGGGAACATACCTGGCATCAACACCAATCCTGAACGGATGCTCAGAGCGTTTTGTGCCATCCGGATTAAACATGTGGTTGACCGTGAGCTCTTGCAGAGAATATTTCTTTGCTGCTGGAGCGACTGCCTACCGAAGCCAAATTTGTGTGTAAAGTAGTACAAATATTCAGCCTCCAGACTTACCTGCCAAAGGCCTGTAACACCCATTATTGTTAAATCCTGTATGATGATGGCAGTGGTCGCAGTGATGACACGCCTGTGAGCCCCTATTGCACTTTTGAGTCCGCTATGTGACCAGTATAGTATGTAGTATGCGGCAAGCTGAAACACAAGTAATAGTTAATATAGGCTCCTCGAGTTGTAAGCTTTCCCGTTATCCTCTTCGCCACGTTTGACAATTAGTTAGAGAGCCCTTTTGATTTCTTCATATTGTACATAGGAGGAGAGTAGAGGGTATAGATATGGAGATACCGTGTCCATTAAATAGCATACCCTGCAAGACCGGGGAGGGAACAATGACATATATAATACATTTGCAGCTGTCATCGAGACGGATGGAAAGAGATCTAATATTGACAAAATGAATGTGGAGAGCTAGACATTATTTACCAGACAGCGGGTGACGCGAAGGTCAACATCTTCGCCTTTGACAACAAGGTGTGCACATGCTCCATTGGGGAGTACCCTGGCGAAGACGATGCAGACATGATTTTGGCTGACAGCTCTTCAATGCCGATGGGCATAGGTGGTGGTGCGGAGGAAGCAGGGGAGGTGGACAACGTAGATTAAGAGAGGGACGCCTCTGGGATATTGGGACGGTGGAATGCGAAGGTGGCGGGACGTACACAGACCATGGAGGATGGATGGCGGGGGGCATGACGGTCGAGAGGCGCAAAAGGGTTTGCTGATGAAGGGGGTGTCGATTTCTTCATCGATGGCAAGATGTAAGCTGGAAAAGGGCCCATCCCTGCGAAATCTTTCCATATCATACTCTCGAACTCACTTAGCGTCGAGGGATCCACATTCAGCTCCCACTGTGTCGTCACAAATAACTTTGCTCGTGAGCATAAATGCGGAAATGAAAAGTTGGAAGGCAGACAAGCCATGGGCGGTGGGGAATCGCACCTTTAGTCTTTGAAGACTAGCGCAGCAAACGTGATGGATGGATGGAGCTTGGTGCGGTGGAGAGCATAAGCGATGATACCTGCGAAATTGTCCAAGAACGTCCCACCCACAAAGTGGGTGAGAGGTGGAATGCCGGAACGGGCAGGATATGGATACAACGCATGTAACGTCACCAGATACCAGCATGGGGAGAAGGACAGACCACTGAGTGACGAGGGCTGGAGGAATCGATACAAGAATCCCGAAGACGGTGGGGGACTCCTATACAGACCCAAGTTACATGCCAAATTGCCTCGTAGCCATTCCAGTCACAAAAAATGGGCATATCTTGAGGACTACTGCGCAGAACTGGGTGAATGAGGTATCTCCAAATAGGGTTCAGCGAGCGGAATGAACGGACCATAAAGCGAGAGGAATGGCGAGGAGACGGACAAGATATGATGACAAGACCTCGAGGGTGGCCCTTCTCACGAAAATGCAAACAACTCGGGAACCGCTTGGCCAATTCAAATGAACCAGGTACCCGACATGGAGCCTGTCATTAAGGAGTATCATTCCCCCGCAAAACGAGAGACGCTAGTCAAGCACAAGCACAAGATCGTCCACAGTGTGGGCATTTGAGTGCAGGACGGCGATTTGGGTTGAAAAAATCTTCGCGGGCCTCCATCGCATCATCGTTGACTGAGATGAGGTACTTAACTATCGTGAGGTTAGTGAATTCTTGACTCCAACCTCCCCATTCACAAATTTTCCTCAGAGGCCATCGTCGTTCGATGTGGAGGTACTGGCAGCCTCCCCGCCGAAAAGAGTGGGTGCCATAAGCTGCAGGATCGATGTTGAGGTCCAGCAAGTTGTTTCGGAACATTTCCAGGAACTGTTCAGACGACTTTCGAACCAGATACCATATCAGCCAGCTGATTGGCTTGGCAAGCCTGAGGTGCAGAACTCTATCTCACCATTGGTATGTTGGCTTCTGCAACACGGTCACCAGAAGCAATTTTGCGGAAGAGGTAACCGGACATGATGTTGGATGCTATGATCCACTCAGATATGGCCCTTACAGCGCAGAGGTGAGCTTCCGATTGATGGAACGCCCACAGGAAATATGGTTTGATGTCTGCCGGTGCAATCAGTCCAAGATAACCTCGCCGTGCTGTCAGCACGGCTCGCACACACTCACCTCCGGTTTGGTGAGTTTTACGGAAAGGGAGGGTAATGGACATGCCGGTTGTGGTGCCGGCAGCATCATACATGAAATTGATGTCGTGGACTTGAATCTTCAAAACTTCATCAAATCGGAGAAGGCAGATGAACGCAATTGTATAGGCAGCTTGTAAGAGACGACGGGCCCGAGCACCGCCCCAGTCTGCCAACCTGTCATCTTGACCATGATGGTTGGGGTCACGAGGTCGACGAGTGCCAGGCTGGTATGGACGGATGGTCCAATTGTCGGGTAGATGGTTGAAATGATAGAGTTGTGAGAGTATCTCCTGTGGGAATGAGTAGTGAGCTTCCCAGAACCATCGCACCAGTGGTATCAACGTAACTGATGTGATTGCACGTGCGCTGATGGCGACTTCGCCAGCTTGGACCTGCAAAGTGTAAGGGAGGGGTATCGGTGAGACCGTTCGCCACCCATATATAGCCCAGATGAAGACGCATACCTTGCGGCGCCGTAAGGCACACATGTAAGATGACACCTGTACCGACATACTTGGGTTCCCCAGCATGGTGGAATTCCCCGGTACCTCTGACTGATGCCAGGGCATATCACCGAGCCCATGTAACCGCCCAAAGGCATAGGTCATTGCTGCCCTCATCTTCTGCGCATGGCCATAAGTGCCTCGTTCCTCAGATGGCGGTTTACTCGTGCCCTTCAGTGTAATTGAATCGCACCTGCCAGAGTCAACATCATTTTCATCAGTTTTGAGGCGGTGATAATAAACAGGAGAGACGGGGGATACGCATTCATAATCCAGGCGATGATGAATGTCGGCGCATCACGATGGGGTTGGTTGGAATAGAACGACTCATCACCTCGCAACCATCCCATGCCCACGAGGAATCTCTGACACTGCTGCATGAGGCTATGGGGATTAAGTTGTTTGAGTAATCTTGTTTTGCAAAGCAAACAGGACAAACAGACCGTTTATATTCTGCATCCGTTCCCTCCGTCACCCCCTTCGATGCATCTAGTAGCGTGGCTTGAAATGCAGAGAATTCGTTGTTGGTGTCGATGCTGCCACAGACGGGACCGGGTAGAGTTTGTTGTTCGGAGGTCATGTCGTACGAAACATCAAGGAGTTCGAGGGGCGATGCCTCGGACGGAGATACAGCATGACACAGTCCAGGATAGCTATCGAAGGCTCGCTCGGACATGTTGGTTTGTTGGAGGAAACGGGGAAAGCTGCGAGAGTTGATGGCCTCCTATATACGCAGTGAATTTCCAATCATCGTTAGTCATAGCTAGACAAGCCGGTAACACGAACACGGACGGTAACCAAAACAGTGTCTTGTACGACACCAAACGGCACTCAGAACCCACCCAGGACCATATTTTTTTCCAGCAGGGACCGTAGTTTGATTCCTCCAGGACCATATTTTTTCCGTGAAGCGCTGAGACTCCTCGAAGGAACACCCTGAGTTGGCAGGGAAAGCACGACCACCGCGACCCACCCACTGGACCATTCTTTCGTGAAAAAAGACGTTCCGATCCTGCGACGTGACAGCTGAGCATAGTGCATACTCACCACAAATGGCCGATGTAAAGCCAAGTCGTATGACACATCGCCGGCTTCGACACCTAACATCGAAGCATAAGATATAACACGCAGCGTATGCCGGCTTCATGAGAGGTCGATCCCTCTGTCCGTCAACCCTACCCCCTACCTCTCACCTCACACTCCAAATACTTGCTCCGTCGCGATCTCACCAGTGTCTTTCTTCACTGCGATGGCGCCCTCGGTCTCTTCACCGCCGGTCCCCATCTCTGTCTTGGTGAGTACTTCGATCTGGCCTTGCCGATGGACTCGATGGTGTTGCTGTACACCGAGGACTCCATCCACGGTGTTAGGGAGGGCATCGCCAGTCAGCGAAACTCCTCACTGTTACTCGCATCGCTTGCAGATGCCACCGATCGGAGGCCTGGATGGAAGGGCTCAGGGAGGGGCTGAGGGAACAGGCAATCCGATTGCCCGCAGGGGGGTCTGTGCGTCGGCACGCCTGCGCGCGATGGCCGTTTAGGTCGCTGGGGGTGACAGCCCGCTCGTTCCCACCGTACCCGTTTCGGATCCGTCACGCTGTGACGGGGTCCTGACTCAGCCGTGACCGCACCGTCTGTTTTCGCGGTCGCAGCTTCACTTCTCATCGCTTCTCCCATCAGATACGAACATGATCTAAGGTCAGGGAGGTACTCCACAAAATCGGTTCGGAAGCAACGACATGTGGGGAAGTAAAATATCACGAAGCCTGTATCCCTTCAGGGCACCTGACCGGTACTTCGTTGGATTTCGCTAAACGGGCACTTCACTTCTTTCGGTTCCCCCCTTGATCGCAACACAACGTAATCCATTGTCGCACTGTACCGGGGGCCAACGAATGAAATACAAACTTGACCATACGGGGTACATCGAAGTTGGTTGCCCAATTTATGTGGCAGTCATGTGTGGCTTGGTGGAGCTCGTCAAAACGCCCCCGGTAAAGCCTTCGCAATCTTCGCGCAATTTCTATTGACGTGTGTTGTGAATTCCTGCACGATCTTTACCATTTCAAAGTACTTATGCGCCGGTTTCATCGCTTTGGCTAATCCTTTCCAATTTGAAGAGCAGTTCTAGCGAATACACGTGCCAGGTCAGGAGGACCAACTCCAACATCACGTTGAAGATGTAACGGCAGCGCGTACGGCCAGCCAAATCATGACGAAGCCCGCTTATACTATCCAGCACTGGATGAACTGTAGCTAACATATAAATACGGCCCATTTCTTGCTCGTTTTCCTTTAGTTCACTCGACCGCCGCAGATTCAACAATCATCGTGTACGGGCATCTCTCTCCTCAAATGTTTCTTTTCGGGGTCTGACGATCCTCCTCTTCTCTAGTATGTCCAGCCCCAACCCTTATCTCGTTGCCTACTTCAGTAGCAGTGGCCGTCGCCAGGTATCTGCTTTCGCCAACACAGCCGCCAAACAGTCGTTCATCACATATCTGGAATCAATTGATGGAGTGGTGTACACTGATTGGTACGAGCTGGCCAGCGACACTGCCGTCAACGATGCCATCAACAGGACTGCCGATTTAGGCGGAACTGTGTACAACATGCCGGTTAACTAGTGAAGGGCAGCATATAAGTACGCTAACATTCTGCAATGAAATATGAGTAAGGGTTCTCTGACTGTCACTGCAGTCAACTCGAAATCCGCAAGTACTCCCTGGCGCAAAGAAGAATAAAACAAAAACAAAAAAATTATTCTCTCAACATCGGACATGGATGATTAGGTGCATTGTTCATATTTGTACCCGATCTCCTCAGCGGTCAAGGTTGTTCGATGTCCTATGTACTTTTATGACGTTGTGCTATAACTGAACGTGAATTGTTTGACCATTGCAGCTCGTGCTAGCGGCTACAAACTGACCTATTCCGTCTCGCGAATTGCATTGACTGTTCTAAATGAGTGGAGAATGCGTCTTGATCGATCAAGCCTTCTTGCTCGTTTCCGATGTGAGTGTCAATGTAACTCTCTTTGACCTTCTCCCAAGGACAAAGAAAAGAAAAGCAACAAAAGTTTTAAGTTATCCACCGGTCGGTCCTTTCGTCGACCAGAACGTGTGGCATAAAACTGTCTGACCCCTCATGGTCCTCCCTCGATTCCGTTCTGCGACCAGATGAAGATATAATGCGATATTCAACGGCTTCCTATAACACGTCATCAACCTAACATCTTCCTGAAATCGTCCTGACTCTTCGCTGCCTGATCGCCACTCGGAGTGGTCGATTGTCCTCCACCCCTGTTAGCTGCCACGGCAGCCGAACCCATCGCTGGCTTCCGAGCCCGTCCCAAACCTGCTCGAGGTCTTGAAACAGCTGTACGGGGTACAAACATCGCACCTCCGGTTTTGACAGGAGGTCCGGCCGGTGCAGTGCCAGAAGGCAGTTCTTCTGAAATATCCAGATTAACACCCTTGAATACTATGGGTTCTGTTCTTAGCGTCAACTTTCCAGCTTCCTAAGGAAAGCGTGAGCCTCTCTTTAATATCAAAGCGAGGGAAGGGTAGGATGGAACATACCGCTGCATTCTCAAGCTCGACTATCGCCTCCCGTTCTTCCAACAGAATCTCTACTCGTTTCACAGCTGCGAGTTTCTCAAGGACTTGCTGAAGAAGGCCTTCTTGGGCGTCGGGAGGTAGGTTACGAATACGAACAGACCGGTTCCGAGCTTCAGCGCGGCGACCAAGACCAGTGTCTGAGGACTCCCTGGAGATGCAAGGTAGGTATTGATGATGTTCAGCCTAAGACGGTGGGGGAAAAAAACGATACAGAATTCCTACTGACCGATTTTTGGCTCGGACACGCGTGTCTGCGAGAGTGACGGCTATCCGTCGTTTCTTCAACTCGTAGTTATTCGCAGAAAGAGCGGAACGAGCGTCTGCCTGTACAAAACCGTAGTGTGATGACTCAGCGAAAAGTACTCGTTAGGTGAGCTTATTTGTTTTTGGCTTACATCGTTCTGAAATTCGATGAAAGCAAATCCTTTCAGTTGGCCGTTCTTGTCTTCGGCAAGACGGATGTCTTTCACAGGCCCGTACTGGAGCAACATCAGCAGAGTGAGCTGACCAACAGTCACCCCCCAAATAATATAACCCGCACCCTTGAGAACAATCCCTGCAGGTCATCCTTCGTCGTAAACTTGCTGAGCCCCGCGACGTAAACCTCCTTCTCGTTCGCGTCTGCGTCCGTCCGCCCCTTCTTGCGCTCGGGGTTGGACACATACACATTGAGAGTCCGTTCCGGTTCGACTTCCCGGCCATGTAGTTCTAACGCTCGTTCCGCCGATTCCTGTGGTGACGCAGAGAAGTGAGACCCGGATTCCCCCTAAGGGAACGTGTAGATATATATAAACGCACCGGCGATGTGTACTGCACGTAGCAGAACCGCCGCGTCGTTTTGAACTTTTTACTTGGCCACCGTACATCGAATAGGGGACCATACTGTTCGCGTGTTTTAGGAACTAAGCAAGGACGTAGCACGATGAAAAGGAGGGTGGACAGACCTGACCAAAAAGGACTCGTACAGAAGTATCGTCCCATTTCTCAGGAAAGTTGGTAGCGTATAGCGTCGAACGCCAAGCAAGGTGTACATTGACCTCTGTTCCGTCAATACGTTTTTTATCTTTAGTCAGTGCAGCAGGGACGCTATCCTGACATAGATTTTAATTAGGCAGTACCAAAAAGGATTGGAAAATCTTACCCGCGTCGTGAATTCGACGGTGGCCACTAGAACCTGTGGCAGTTGTGTAATCTTCACTTCGCGAATCTCTCCGCACTGAGAAATGGTCATTAATATACAATCCGCAGATTAGGGATGAGAGCACCCACGTCCTTAAATAGCGTTCTTAACTGTTCTTCGTTCGTTCCTGAAGGTAGGTCTGCAACGAACACAGTACAATTCTCTCGGTCTCTACCAGCACAATTTTGAGACCATGTGAATGATCCACTGTTAAACTCACTTGCCTCTTCAACGGCACAGGCGGTTTCTCTATTTGCAACAGTCAGACGTCCAGTATAAGCACGTATACGTGCAAACAATATACCTAGTTTCTGCCGTTTGCCGTTGGCAGTTTCGGCGGGTTCGTCATCGTCCGCTTTACGCTTCCCCAGAGCACCCGAATTCATCTCGTCGACATCCATACCTTCTTCGTCGATACCATGCGCACCTGTGACCTTGCCAGTCTTCGGCACAGCGGCAGAGGTAGGAGCTGGAACGGTTTCCTGCTGCATAACGTATTGGGCTTGTGCTGTTTCAAAGGCTTTTTGAGCCTCCTGCAAAATCGTATGGCGCATCGTGAGTCGACGTAAGCGACCAAAACGGTCACATACCCTCATGCGCCTTGCCTCCACCTGCGTTCTTGCACGTTCGATACGTGCCAGTGACTCTTCGAGGGACGTCAAGGACCCGTGTGCATACTCGAAGTTGATCCATGCATCCCACAACGCTTCGGGATAATCTAGATTTTTGGTGCTGACGTCTTGAAAAGTCGAACGGGCAAGATCATGGTGGTCTGTGCGTCTGAAGGAGCATAAATGTCTCGAGGTTATACAAATAAAACTGAGACAGAAATAGGGGGAGTGCTCACATCAGAACATCCGTATATGCTACCCAGGATGCCCAACTCGATTTGTAGTGCTTCGCAGT